TCATCATCACTGCTGCATAGTTGCATTTTTCCAGTTGCCAAATATGTTAATGTAGTTAATGTAGTGATTACTTCCATTTCTGGTGCAATGGCATTTCTGCGTGGTGTCAGAGATGTTAGCATGTCTTTAATAAGATCGGTCACAAACATAATCCCTGCACGATCTAATAGCGTCTTATTAACTCACTGCCATGCATTGTGCAACACATTTCTTCTCCCTCTTCATGTTTCGTCTATTTTCTCCACTGCTAAAGAAACTCTTAAGCCTCTTAAAAGTCCTTGTCCGTAATCCTAACAATTTTGGACCGTAAGACCTCTTTTAAGGCTTAAGATGTTTTCTGAATTACTTTTTTCTTTACTAGGATCTTTTCTTTAATTTTAAGAGGAAACACCCACATTTCTAAGAATTTCCTTAGAATTTTGTTACTAGGAGCAACTCTTAGTACTAAGATTTTTCATGAATACGGGCCCTGATATCACTACAGCAGAATGAACTAAATGAGGCTGAATGGATCTGTCTGTAACACAGACTCATAACTGTAGGGAAGTAAAGAGACAGCACTGGAATGAGCCAAGTATTTGAGCTTTATACACTATAGTTAAAAAGTTTAAGGTCAGTAAGATTTTTTTCTTTTTAAAGAAATTAATGATTTTATTCAGCAAAATAGATCAAAAACAACAGTAAAGACATTTACAATGTTACAAAAGATTTCTGCTTCAAACAAATGCTGTTTCTTTTTCATCAAAGAGTCCTGAAAAAGTAAATGTATCACAGTTTCATAGAATATCAAAGGGATAAATGAAAATTCTGTAATTTACTCACCCTTAATAAACATTTCTAAAACTGGCATATTAGACTAATTTCTGAAGGATCATGTGACACTGAAGACTGAAGTAATGCTGAAAATTCAGTTTTGTCATCAGAGGAATAGATTTTTTTTAATGTATTAAATAGAAAAGTCATTTTAAACTTCAATAACAATTCACAGTTTTACTGTTTTTACTTTGTTTTTGTTCAAATAAATGAAGCATAAGAGGTGAGCATAAGAGACTTCTTTCAAATACATTCAAAATTTCACTAACCATAAACTTTTGAATGGTAGTACACACAGTGCTTAACAAATTTATTAGACCACCACCCAATGTAAGGTTTATGCCACAGCTGCCCTTAACTAACAGTATTGATGATTACCAAATAAAAAAAAAAATATTGTTTTTTAATGTTTCTGTAATGGTTAATCCACACCAGTATGTGTAAGCTCTTTAGTCACAGTAGTCTAATGCTAAAATATAATGATTGTGGGGATTTAATGGATTCATAGATACATCGCACAAAAGTTTCATCAAAATCAAGTCTTTGGGAATAGCTAGAAACTACTAGAAGTCAATAACAACATGCAGGGTCTGAAGAAAAGTACACAAAAACAATGTCAGCAAGAATGCAAGCTGTTATCAAGGCCAAAGGAGGCCATACAAAAGAAAAATAAAAGATATAAGTTTTTTGGTTATTATATGTGAATAAAGACTATTTAGTTGTTTCAGTTTGTTATTTGCCTAATAAATGACAATAAAGTTTTTAGATTTTGACAGATTCCTGAAATATTTTTTCTCTCTCTTTATGATGACAGATGGGCTAAGAAATTTAAGCATTGTACTATAATTTATTTATATTTTTCTAAAAATATTTAACAATATATTTTAATATCTACATATATGCCAAAAAAAACTCCTTGTCATGGTGCTAGCTTAACACATAAAAATTCATACATAAGAATGCATACATTTTAATTTGGATCAAGCTCAACATTTGTTAACATTTTATATTACAGCTGAGCTATGAGTTGAATTCTTAACAAATTACTAGGCTCTATGTAAACGCAACTCGTGAAATTGGCAAGGCACTCTAATTACAGTGACTATAACTGTCATTTACAGAAAGTCGTCCTCTCTGATCTCCTAGACCAGGGGTGGCGAACTCCGGTCCTGGAGAGCCGCAGTCCTGCAGAGTTCAGCTCTAACCCTAATAAAAACTCACCTGCCTGAAGCTTCCTAGTAACCCTTCAGGCCTTGATTAGCTTGTTCAGGTGTGTTTGATTAGGGTTGAAGCAAAACTCTGCAGGGCTGCGGCTCTCCAGGACCGACGTTCGCCACCCCTGTCCTAGACCCTTTTATCAGTTACAAGCACTCTGCGGAAATCTAATTTCTCTGCATGTGACTGATGGTGAGTAGATGGAATTATGAATGTCTGAATTTCTCATAGCACCCAATTTATTACATGCACACTTCACATTATATATGAAGCATCATATATAAGCTTTATATTTTCACCCAGCAAGTCACAGATGTGAGAAAATGTCTTGATTAATATTACATAAGAAATTCGACATGATAAACTGCATATATGGGGATCTGTCACACTGGCTTGGACGGATAAAATTGTCAAGCCAGAGTGCAAATTTGTATGTTATCCTCCTCACAGCAGCCAACTGAATTCAATTACACTCCAGTGACTGGGACGCCCAAATAATTCAGCATCCAAATCCAATCACACTGCCATATACACAAATGAGATCCTGATGAACTCTTAACAGGTTGCTTGAGGAACCAGCCAATTGTACACAACACGCTGTAAATGGATAAGGATATTTTTCTACATTTAAAATAAAGAAAACTGTCTTGAGGACCGAATAGCACTTTTTTTTTGTCCGGTCACCATGACAACATATAGCTTCTTTGTTCCTTCAGTCATATTAGATGCTAGCCCTTCAAAGCCATTTTCATTTCTCTTTTATAGCTTTCAACAGGGAGAATATATCCAGATACAGCACATTTCAAAAGCTAGAGTCTGACAAGGTATGAATTTTACTTCTCAGTTGGAACTAATCACTAGATTTACTAAACTATTATTAAACTGTTAGTTTACTGGATGTTTTTCATGATGCTTTCTTGTCCATTTGGCTGTTTTTGGCCATATTTTAAAGGCAGATATTTGCTCCCAAGTGAATTTTATAGAACCCAGACTCAATTGTGGTTTTAAACTACTCTTTATGGTCAGAACATGACAAACGCTTCACGTTTTTGAATTATGCACACTTTTCCAGTCATTTTACTTAACAAAATAAATATCTTAATAGAAAAATTAATTTCTTAGTTTCTGCATGTTCTAATGAGTTCATGTTCAGGTTTGTGTTGCCTGACTTTGATGACACGTATCTTCAGCACAGTTTGCATGCAGTGCAGGTTGCAATATTAAAGGGGTCATATGATGCTTTTTTTAAAGAGAAAGGAAAACTTGAAATCGCATCATATGACCCCTTTAATAATATAAATTTTTGTCTCTTATGCACATTTGACAGTAGCTAGTAGTACCTTGAGTAAGGGTGCAGATGTAAATTTATGTTTAGTATCAAAAACAGTAACATCTATAAAATTGCAAAAAACTCATTTTTATATGTTTAGTTATTCTGACTGTTTGAGTTTTATGAAAAAAATTAACCAGTCTTCCACAGCAGCATACATTTAGGTCATGATAACCACAGTTAAAACCACACACACAGCACCTCAATACCATGGTAAAAATGTAGGTATATGGTTTCTAGGTATTTGTATGAAAAACAGTAGTCTAAATACATTTAGTATAAATGCACAAA